ACTGTAATTGAATCTTCAATTTGTCCTTGTTTTGTGATTTGTGATATAAATAAAGTGAAATCAGTGGGAAGGTTTAATCCAATGCAATCCACTTTGCATCTTTTTAGACACAAAGTGTTATTTTGTTCATACTTAGCAGCTTCTGATTTTTCTAAAATGGCCCATATCTGCTCCACACATCAACAACAGTGCCAAACACTGAACAATCCAAACTACTCATCACTGAATCAGAGAGGGAGGATTGATCACTTAAGAAAACTCCACAGCTGGGAACAAACTAGCTTCTTTCAATTGCAAACATGTTGCTGCAGCAATCCTCTGGTACCAAAACTAACTACGCTGCTGCTTACAAATTTTGCTTGTATCTGACCACAGCTATTAAGGCATAACAAATAAAAATTATCAGAGTCTCAGCTGGTACCAAAAGTACTGGTTTTCAGCCTAAAACTCAGATGTTTGCTTAAGTGTCTGCTCAACATCTACAGATACAATCCCTGGAGCAGACTTCTTTGGCCAGAGATATAAAAAGTTTATTATCACTCTTTGAGCATTTTCTGTACAAAGACTTGGACAAAGTCTTGACAATAAAAGATACCGTGTTTGATTGAATTTCTCATGTCATTTGGAAGATGAAGGTGGGGTGGGAGCCGAAAGAAGCAGCTCTTCATACAGCATTGCTGTAAGGGTTAGGCCAACCTTTTTTCCAGGTGTGGTCTTACGTCTTACCAAACTTCTGCTAAAAATGTGCTGTTCCACACATGCTTGCTTTTAGAGACTGACTGGGAAACTCAGAATGATGACCTAACTCTTTTTTTGACATTAGGTCATAACCGGTCAGTGACAATGCGCTGTCTGAGGCCAAAAAGTGGTGGTTTTTTACAGGAAATTCTTTACATGGCCTCACTGGATGTGATTAAAACACCATCTGAATATATGGCTCCTTGGATCAGTTGTCACTTCGCTCTCCACTCAGACTGTGGGACTAAGTGGTAAATTAACCAGGGTTCAGACACGGCTCTACGGCTACTATGCAAAATGTGTTCTCCACATAAAACAGACACCGGTGCAATCATAAATTCCATCACCAAGTCTGTAATAAAATTAAACATCTTTAATGCCTGAATTTGTTTCAATGACTTGTGTGTGAAACCTAAGTGCTCTATACCACAGAGCTACCTATGCCCTTCAACAAAAATATTAAACATACAATTCGTTTTTCCAGACCAAAAGAAGAGGAATTTAGGTTAATTTAATAGAAAAAATAAAATATGGAATAACATTGATTTTGGCCAATATCAATTACAACAGAACTACCCTATTTTACAAATAACAACTGAACATTTTACACATGTACAGTATTTTTTCAGTAAAAATGAATTTGATTAAAACAATGTGTCAGATTTTTAAAGAAAACAAAGTTATTAATTTCTTCTCTATAATTGTGTTAGAGACATTTGTAAGTATCCAAAAAAATTCTTTACAATCCATTACATAATTAAATCTCAATAATGAATATATATTTATATATAATATATATAATATTAACTTAGACTTTGAAAGCATTATGTTCTAGTTAAACACGTTATACTGAGAAATGAGGCAGTAACAGACTAGTAGTTAAACTAGCACAAATTTGTTTATCTGGAAATTTGTAATGGGCACCAAAGGAGCCTGACTGCCCCTGTCACACTGAACCAGGTTGTAACAGTTTACCTGCTGCCTGCTAAAGAGGACATTACCTACAGAAGTTTGCATCCATTCATTTGTAAAAGTTCTACAATAATTTTTGATAACTTTTTATCCCCTTTATTTTCCAAGATTTACATGCTTAAACAGATTCAATCCATTCTCTGTTTGTATGTCCTGGAATGCTGAAAAAGACACTTCATATGTTTTAAGTATTATCCCCTGTAAACAGCATCTTCAAAGTTCAATTTTCTGTTTCCTGTGAAATGACTGTCTTTTGAACTCTATGCTGAGTGAAGCTGATGAAGATACATTAAATAGAAATTTCTACTGACAGCCCTGTGCCTGGATAGAAGAGAGTAAGGCTAGGCCACTTCTCTCACCACCCAAGACCATTTTACAGTGAGGTAACTCCATTGACCTCACAAGGACTATTCTTGCTGAAATTTCTACTGTGAGCAGTTAAATGCAAATTCAGGCCCATCACGACACCAAGAGACCCACCGGTTTACTGCCCTTTATGCAATTATACCTGGAGTTGTATTTGGCACAATTATAAATTCAGTCCTGTAAACACATCCTGTCACGCATAGTCACACTGGCATTTACATATGGGCACTATGAAATAGTTCCACATATCTGTATGATAATATCCCCTTTTTTATAATGAACATTACAAGACAAAAATAATTTATGAATACTTCTTACATGTTAGCAATGTTTTCTGACTTCTGAGCATATACATTACTCTCACTTATGCAAATCAAGAGAAGTAGTATCTTCTAAACTTGTCCACTACAGGAACAATTTTTTTAAAATTTATTTGAAATAGCTTTGACAATTTAAAAAAATAAAATAAAAATCCTAGCATATCTGTTAATAAGCTAGCTGTCTAAAAATGAAATCTATATGACCAAAACCCCATTTTGGGCAAACATATATACATACTGCATGTGATAAAAAAACCCCAGCATACAGCAGAGGAAGCAAGAAAGAAACGTGTTCAGAAATGTTCACTTTTCATTTTTTAAAATACTATTACAAAAGGGGCAGAACTTAGTCCTGCACTAGTGATGTTTCTGATCCCCTCAGGAACTCAAGTTCCCCCTGTCAATACACACTGCACAAAAAAAGACTAATGCAAACTTTTTTGTATTTTTTAGTTTTAATCCATGTAAACTTGTGTTGTATTCTTGAAACACTCTTTAAACATCTTGAAGTGGAAAGAAGCAGGAAAAAAAGGGAAGAAAAAGGACTTTCAAAAAAACAGGGATAATCCTAAGGTTGACAGGAAATCAAATCAAGATTTAAATGTTAATTTTGGCATCAAATGCTTTGGTCACACAATACTGACTCTGCGATCCTGGATGCTCTGCTCTAGACACCCAGTTATGAAAGGTAGGTGTGTTGTAGTTTTTCCGTTTAAGTTCCAACAAACAGTTCACCATCTCCCCAGACAAAGAAGAGGGAGAGAGGGAAACGTGGTTTTCTTTCTTTCCTTTTTTTTTTTTCCTTTTTTCGTTTTTCAATAATATGGATTAATCTATAAGTCTATAGGAGCAGGAGGATGCTGGGAGGTGTCATTTCACCCCTTTTGTTTACATGTTCTGCAACACAACTGCTGAAGCACTTTCCGCTGGCAGAGATTGTTCTTTTTCACCAGCATACAGAATCCTCCCTCGGCCCAGGACTCTTCCGTGGCTTCCAGAGGGTAGCAACAAGAGAAGGAGGAGAGGTTGAAGATTTGAAGAGCATGGCGTGTACAATGGAGGAAGGTTTAATTGGTCAGACAGGCAGATTTGGTTGAAGAGACCATTCAGGAGCAGGTAGCAAACAGGAAATTTGGTCCATCAAAAGGAATTCCAGTCAACAGCATTTTTTTTTTTTTCAGGGAGAGATATTGTGTGGTCCGACAGGGAATGATTTGTATCCATTTGTGAAAAGGAAAACAAGATTAGAAAGAGAATAATTAGAAAACAGTGATAATATTTACAGTAAAGGAATTCGTTCTCAATTTTATGAATCAAAAGAATAAAACAATCAAACCACAGTAAATAGAATTCTCAATAGAAATGCAAATCCTATAGAGTGAGTTAAACTTGTAACCAGTGCTTGATTGTAAGCTAGTAAAATGAGACCCTCTTTGCTTTGTGAATTAACAGAAAAAAAAAAACAAACAACCTTTCTCATGTTCCTTGGCTCTCCTACACTGTTGAGAACACATGGTGTATGGTGTGACCCAGCATGGTGCACTGCAATCAACTGCAATACCATATTGAGACCGCTGCTATTCAAAATTCTTAGCATTACACTTCTCTGTCATTTGTCTGTTTATATCTGGCTACTTCTGGACTTGCTCTAGATTACGATGACTCTTCCAATTTCCTGATGTGAAAAGGTCTCATGACTAATCTACCAGTACCAAATAATGTAACTTTACAATGGACAGGATATTTTCAAAGGTTGAAGGCCTAAATTCCAACAGGAACTGCAAAGGTCCACAGAAAGAAGACTCACACCTGCACCCTTTCTTTTGTATTTTCAAGTCTTTGGTAAAACTCTTACTAAATCCAGTGGAAACAAGCTGGACCCAAGAGTTATTGTTAACTTTTACTATGTCTAATGTCACATATCTTCTTGGACTTTGTTCTGGTATGATTTTCCTGTTGGATTGAACTTAGTAGGCTCTGTCTACAAGTAATTCACATGGTAACATCTTCAGGGAAGCATAGTGTTATCTAAGTGTCTCTGTAATTGTGACATTTAGAAGGAATGAATATTAGTGAATAATTATGCCAATCATATGCAGTAAGAATGCTATCTTGGTTGCCACAAAGAGTTTGGAAGAAGTTCAGATCACCCTAAATTGTATGCTCCTTATTTCAGAACTCTTTTGTTCTCATTACCTTTCACATAATTCAAGCAATACTGCAGACACTTTAAATCGTTTTTACTTACCAGCATTTTCACAGCTAAGTGGTGAAATAGATAAATGTAATTCTATTAATAATACTCTAGGGTCTTCATATAAAAATCTGTTGAAAGCACTGGCTTTGAAAAAATGGTAAAGAAGGAAAAATAGGTTGTTGGCAGGGGTAAAAAATGATATTCGGAAAATTCAGCTAAAGTGGATGTGACTAATCTACATGCAAATGTAGTGTTCTCCTTTTCATACACCTGAAAAACTTAAAAAATGTAGCTTAGACTTTAAACCAACACTAAAAGAAGAAAAGAAGCAGACCAAACCGATCCAATACTTGTAAAAGAAGAAGCTGGCAGTGGTAAAATGGGTCTTTGCAGAGAACAGCACTTACCATCCTTGCATACTGTTCCCATCACGCAGGCACCAGTGTCTAGGTTATAGCCACTTGGACAGCTTGTACAGTTTCTATCTCCTTGACCACTACAATCCAAACAGCTGGCATCGCATCTGAAAGACAATGTCAGCAGTTGGTCTTCAGGCCTCACCAAATACAAGAGCTTCTAAATAACTCTTCTGTATTGAAAAGGATTGTTTGCTGTTTCTAGAGCTATCAGATGCTACAATATTGCTACTACTAATAATTATGACGACAAAAAATTAGCTACCCCTGCAACCCAGTCCTGCTCCTTTCCATCAACTTTCTATTCAAACTTTTTTACTAAATAGCTGCATTATTCTCGTATTTTGGAACTATGCAGAAATAATCAACAAACGTATTAAACTGATTGTGCATACATGCGCCAAAAAGGCATAAGCTAAAGCTACAGGATAGAAATGACTTACTTGCTGCCCAATCCTTCCATCACTTTGATTTTATTTTTTTTTTGTGTGGAATATACTTAAACACATGGTGACTCCCTTCCCACCTGAATTCAAAGTGAGTCAGTGACTCCAAAGGGCAACAAATGGTATTTATTTAACAATGAATGGAATAAAAAAACAGCCCCTTCCTTACAAAGCACAACTTTGTCCAATATTTCTCCAGCCTTTTGTACACTGAGTCAGATAAGCTACCCCAGGCAGTACTTTAGAAATATACTTGTGCTATGTTTGTGAATATGCAGTGTAAGAACTAAAATGGTCTTTATAAATAGTAATTAACTTGCAATTAAAAAAACCCTAGTTGGACTATTCTTGTTTGCTATTAAGAAATGCTGATCCTCTATCAGATTAGTAAATTTTATACTTTTTGACTGGACACTGTTTTAAGTGAAGGTCACACTTTAAAGAAAACTTTACAAGAAAAGTAAAGTCACATTTTACAAGAAAAAATGCTTTCAGAAGAGCTGTATGAATATAAATCAGATTAAAATAAATACCAATAATAACAACAAAAATAATAGTAACAACAATAATAATAGCTTTTCCATCACCTGCTTAGCATGTAATATATTTTTTCTACCTTTGAAGTCAACAGTATTTTATCTTCTCATAAATGTTAACTTTTTCAACAGAGTAATAGCTAATACGCTGCCAAACTTCAGACACGTTAGCCACTGATCATACCTTTTGCAGCTTTTGTATCCACTTTCAGCAGAGTGATCAAGGTAATAACCACTACTACAGGACTGCACACATCTTCCATCTTCCATAAAATAACCCTGTGTGCAGTTTATGCAGGCATCCACTCCAGCACCTTAGACCACAGAGAAATTGTTAGAATGTATGTATTGTTAGAATAAACAATATTACATAATCTCAGTGTATCTCTTCCTGAAATAAATGACTCTTCATATTTCTAAAGCTCCATACAAAATCTAGCAAATAGAGGGCACTTGCAAATTACTGGCAATCAAAATAAGCTCTTATCAGAATTAAAAAAAAAAAAAAAAAATTCAAAGAACCCAAACCAACCAAACAAAAAAGGAATATATAAACTCATTAAATTAAAAACCTTGATTTCCATGCTAGCTGAAACAAGCTTGGTGTATTAAAATATATTAAAAAGCTACCAAAAGAATGAAGTTTTCACATACATACTATCATGTTATACTATAACAGTGATACAGTGGAATAGAATCAGAGCTAAAATCATACAGGAATGAAAATTATACAGATGATAGGGTACCTGCACATGTTGCACAGGACCGGTGGCATGTTTCACATTCTTTGCCATTATGGTATTTTCCTTCTTCACAGCGGATAGCACATTTAGTGCCATGCAAGCTATTGTATAAAGGAAAAAATGCACAGTGTTTGGGCAGATAACAGCAACGGACGACAACAAGATCATGCACAATCCAGTAGTTTTCTTTTAATCCAAGAACCACCCACATAGTCCGATTCAACACCTTCCTTCATTGGACATATTTTATAAATTCAGAGACATCAATCACTTCAAGTGGGAATGAAAAGCAGTTGTGCCCATGGGGAAATACAGAAGTTGTTTACAAACTCTTTGTAAATACTACGAAGTAACAGGGGACAGACAAAAAATGAACAATGACAAAGACCACTAAAGATTTAGGCATGTAAAATGTAATTATCCATGAGGAATTTGGCACACTGTATTAAAAAAAAAAGCTGAGGGACTTGTTAATGCTAATGCTTCTCTGAATGACCATCAACATCTCCTGATACTATGCTACAGCACAGGTTAAGAACACATTCACAGTGAAAGAAATCACAACCTATTTCTGCAACATCAGTTTCCCTTGAAACCTCCTAACTGAAAGCAAGTTCTGTGTGTCTTGTGAGATTTGTCTAGATTACAGTTGGAGGCATTCTGCCTGCATGCACTATTTAGAGAGCACAAAAGTAACAGAAGGAAAAAAATAGCACAGAGAGTCACATTTTCATGCATTCTTCTAAGTAGATGTTTATCGCTTTTGTGTTATAAGGTGCCTATAGAAGTTTGGTTTTGTGTTTGTTTTTTTTAATTTATTTTTTTTAATTTATTCATTTTTTGAACTAAGACTTCTCTGCCATGTTTACCATCTTTTGTGGAACGTTCCTCAAATTTAACACTTTCTCTAAAAATGCTCTTCAGCTCTGGAGTTTACCACCCTGAGTGCTAATGTTTCACAGACTGGATCCAGCAAATGTCAGGTATGCTCAGCACCACTGGAAATTTTCAAGAGTCTATACAGTCCCAGTTTAGAAAGTAAACTACCAGTTCAACAGAAGTAACAACTCTTGCTTTCCTGTTATTTTTCCTCAGTCACACACCTCAAAGAGCTTTATAAGGCACATAGCATTATCATGTTTTTACAGATGGGAAAACTAATTATTTGCCCACGTTTATTTAGTGTGCCACTAAATAAGCAACAGTGGAACGCAGGCCTCTCAAGACCCACTCAAAGAAGGCTCTGCCCATTGATTACTCTGCCAAGAAAATGGTGAAAGATTTGAAGAACTATGTAGTATGAAATTTATGTCCTGCAAGGCTCCATTTATCACCTATACAGATGGTGTTTTTTAAAAATGTTACCAAAATTTACTCTCAGTTTGCTAAAATTACTCAAAAAACCATGAAGGTTGGGTTCTTTTGATCTTTTTTCATACTTCAATTTCAATAAAGGAATCTAGCTACTGATATTCTAGATGCAAATATTCAGCTTTTACTAAAACATGAAAATCCACTTTACTGGGGGCTAAAACCTCAGTGTTAAAACATTAACACAAAGTTCATATTCTGAAAGAAGAATCCTTATACATACTGAATACTGACTTCATATTTTTTTTGTGGCACTAAGCCAAAATACATTCCATCATGAACGTTGCAAGATTTTTGACTTTTGCTGCTTAGATCAAAAGGTCATTCATTCATAAAGAAGCCTGAAATATGTCCTGCTGTTTTGTAGGTTTTACCTGTCATTTTCAAGAATGATTAGGTTCCCCTATGAAGAAAAAAAATCTCTACTGCTGTTTAAAATAAATTAACAGTATACAGTATAGAATTGAGCCCAAGGTACTTAAGACAAGTGAATGACTGGATATAAGAAGAAATACAATAAAGATAAGAAAATAATTTCTGACTACCAAATGAATGAATTAGAAAAATTAGTATAATTCATCAGCTCTACCTCTAAAATAAGCCTTGACTGACATACTGTAGGTCAAAAAAGTGAAGAAGGCAGCTTTCCACATGACTGTGACTTTTGTGTTACTTGAAACGAAAGGCGTTCTAAAAATCTATTGTTAGCCAAATGGGCACACTTGAAAATATTATATTACAGACTAAACAGCATTGTAACAGTTGACATAAAGGCCACTCAAGGTTAAATAGCTATCAGATGTTCTTCACTGTGTATCCACAGCCTTGTATACCCCTTCTGGTAACATGTTTAGTGACATCCATAATTTACTTACCTTAGGCCATGTCTGCATTCTGTGCAGATCTGGAATTCAACACAGGTCTTACAGTTTTCACTACATTTTCGACAAAAAATCTTATCTAGAAAAGAAAAAAAGTCCAGAAAACCTTGATCAGTTTTATTTGATAAAACTGTATGAATATATTATTGCATGACTTACTGTTTTCTAATTTGACTTCAAATTAGACTAAAACAGCTAGACTAAAACAGCTAGACTAAAACAGCTAGACTAAAACAGCTCAAGTCTGCTTATCATTACCTTTTTTCATCAAAGATTGAATGGTTTACCATATTTCTATACATCTGAACTTATAGCTGCACCCTGAGAAAAATACGTTTTAAGGTCATTATAAAGTTTCCTAAACATTTTAAATTGACATTCACAATTTATAATATGGACTTAAATAATCTTCTCATATAACAGTGATATGCAGTAATGACATGCCATGTGTTCCAGAGGTTGTCCTGCAAGCAGTCTGTCCTCTCTTCCTGATTTGGTGCTAAAATACACACCTGCATAAACAGATCTCATCTTAACAAAGTAAATATATGAATTACTTAACACCTACTTTTTTATGTCAAGAGCTCCCTTCTTTAACAAATGTCTCTATCTCTTCAGCCCTGCTGTCTTTTGAGATTCAGTGACATGTACCTTTCTAAGAAAAACCTGATTTTCCCACTTAATCCTAAATGTTCATCTATTAATTTTAATTGTGTGGAAAGGAATTACCTTTATTGTAGTTCTCACATACTAAAAATGGAAAATTTAAGGTAGGATCTGTTTTTACTAATTCCCAAAAATAAACGCACAGCTTCGTGACAAGAAATCAAAAGGCTAGGCACGTAGATGAACAAAGCTCCTGAGAACATATTTATCTTCTAAGGAGTGCCTTAAGATAACCGAAGTCAACTGCAGTTTTAAGCACATGTTTAAATGTTGTGTAAGTATTTTTGCTAGCCAAAGCTGGAAATTAAACACAGTCAGTCTCCTGGCAGTCACAGGAGGAAGTTGAAGGTAGGTATCAATCATGGCAGAAGATTACTGCTCTTGAGCTGTCACATCACCGGAGGCGTTCAAATATGTCAGAAACATTATTTGCAATAAAGTTTTACATCTGAAGAGCCTATTTTTCTTACAGCTCCAGTTCAGTGGACATGGTTGACCCCTGAGCTCTCACTTCTGGTGCCATATCATTTGAATTTGAGTGAATGGGGAATGACTCATTGTCAGAATGTGTGTGCTGCCTGTCCACTTCCAGAATAATGATAATCTGTTCTGTCCTTCAGCTGATTTACTCTTGAACTGCCTCAATTCTGCTATTGTTACTGCCAGCCACTCCCAGATGAAAAGATATCCTGCCATTAAGCATGGAACATTTTTCAGGAGATTCTTGATCACACTTGGCAGCAATGTAATAAGAAGAACAGAGAAAGAGATAGATAGATCAACATATACTTTTCCTGCTCATAAGCATTCCAGCAATCTCTCCCCAGATCAAGTTCTGTAGCCCACAATACAAAAACAACAAGAAATACTAACTCTTATCCAGGTAAAACCCATCAGGACAGTTGGTAATACAGCTATTGGTTACTTCGTTCAGGTAGTAGCCAGATTTACAGGTCATGCACTGGTCATTATGGCCTCCAACACAGGTTTCACAATTGGGTGAGCATTTTTTACATCGTTTCTTGTCTGCATTGTAGTGACCAGGTGGGCAGGTCGAAACACAGATCCTGCAGACAGCAGGGAAGAGAAGGCAGAGTCGTTAATGAAATAACCTGCCACCACATTCCTGGACCATGATTGCAAAGCACAAGTATTTCTCAGCACTGCTACTTTTCTAATGATCACATGTTTAGTAGCTGTAACCCTTCAAAAGCATTGTGTCAAGCTGCCTCTTCCCGCATTTATCTCCCTACAGCATATGCTATCTCACTAGCAAATGCCTTGTCAGGCAGTCATACAGTATCTTATTTGACCACCTATATTTCTTCCTGTCTTTTTCACTTCATCACAGAAGCTGTAGTAGCTATCAGAGTTATATATAAATATATAAATATATAAATATGTAAATATATAGAGAGAGTCTCATGGAAAAAAAAAAGGTGAAGGGTGTTTGAAAGCTGTACTTTGAATTCTGATTAGCTAGGGTTTCTTTAGCTACGAAAATGTTTCAAATTCATTGGAAAATGACTGTGGCAGAGAAGAGGAATGTAAGTTAGAATATAGACTAAGAAATCAATGAAGTAAAGGGTTTTTTCTCTTTGTGTTACCTTGTGTTGTTCTTAGATTTGTAGTAATAGTGAAGACAGTCAGTACAATGATCTGGTCCTGGCCCATCACACCCTACTTTACTACACTCTGCATTGCAGGGACCTGTAATAAAACCAGAATAAAGAGGGAGGAAGGGATTAAAACTCATTTAGTACTTCTCAAACTTTAAAACATGGTATTTTATTGCAGAAATTCAATTACTCTGTTTCCCTGTGTTGAGGAATACATTCAGTACAGGTAGCTTGGTTTGTAAACTGCAGTGCAAGCTGCAGATTGAACTTGGGGGTGGCATGGGGCCCAGGCCAAGAGCTGTGAACTGCTGACCCTCTGCAAAATAGAGGGCACAGGGACCTGTGGTGCTGGCCGGGTGACTGGACACTCAGACACAAATAAAGGAAAAAAAAAAAAAAGAGGAAGAAAAAAGAAAGAAAAAGAAAGTCTTTTTTAGTACCAAAAGACCACACAATCTGAGTCTTACTATTTATTCACAGTGATTTATAATTTTTAGCAGGTGGGGCATCCTCTATAGAATTTATCAAAGAGAAACTACTTCTGGATCCAAACTGATGCTTTCGCAAGGGGTAACAAATAATGCTGCATTTTATTTGAAATATGCAAAGGCTTCTGTAAATCATAATTAGGAATGGTTAGCAAAATCACTTATAAAAAGTAGGTCAGCATAAATTATGCACATAATGTTCAGTGGCTACTCAGGTTACCAACTAGGTAACAACTGGTCCAAGACCCAATGAACCAGACACCAAGGGTCCCAATGCTCTGTTTGCTAAACTCTGCAAAAGCCTCAGACAGTACTTGCTGATTAGCAAGGCTTCCATCTCACCCACACTCATGTTGGACTTGATGATCCTTATGGAGTCGTTCCAACTTGGGATATTCTATGATTCTGTGCTTACAGTTTTCAAATAGATCCTTCCTGTTATGGGAGGAGAGAACCATCAACTCCTGCCTTTATGCAGAAGAACAATGCCTGTGGGTGAAGTTATAACTTTCAGGATCACTGCTTTCTCTTGAATGAAATGAATTTGCCAGCCACCTTCAAATTTCATCTAGCAGCTAAACTTGAAGTGAGTTTGGTTCATATAAAAACTTAAGAAGGTAGTGATCTTTAAAGCAGAGATAGTAGTGTTTCATCACCTATTAAAACAAGGGCTACCGCAGCTCTCCATTTAAAACAGAGACTGTGGAAATGACATGTTCTGGAAGGAGAATGTCAGTGGTGCTCCTAATGGTGGATTACATGTGGGAAACTGCAAACTTGCCTTATTCTGCAGTGCTGAAAATCTAATGCTACTGAAGTCTAATGACAAGGTTGAAACACCTCTATAGGGATGAGTGAGAAAAAATACAGATGTAGAAGTTAATGCTCTTCATATATATATATATACATATACACACACATATATACATATATTTGCATATATATGTGCATATAGCTTTGTACACTTATATGCAAAACACTGCATTCTTCAAAGTATGTTGATTGTAGCTTAATAATATGTAACTCTATGCTTACTCATAAGGATGAAATGAAAATACCTATCTTTAGGCTGTGAAAGAAATACTTCTCATTTTCAATGAAGTATCCAATTCACTGAACATTTTACATATGCAGGCTCTCAGGTCATCCTTCAGCTATTAAGTGTTCAGAAAATGCTCAGTCAGAGTCAATGAACGTACATACCCGAATAGTCGTCTGTTGCATAATCTTCTGTAGGGTCTTCAGCTGGACTAGAGCGCACCCTTTCCACTTTCGGAAAATCATTTCTTGGTGAGTAAGGCTGGATGGATGTTCCATACAGTACTAAGGACCACTCTTTCAATTTGCCTGGAAGTTAAGCATTTTAAAAACTAGTTTCAGAACTGTGTCTTACAAAATCATATCACTTTCAAGCACGATGTTGTGAGTAGGTACAGATGACACTGCTTTTCAAATAAATGTCTTCAGCGTTTCACTATAAACTGAGAAAGAATATTTTCTTCAATCAGATCTTTACACTATATTTTCATTTCATGCCAATGTCTTGTAGATCTGCACCCTGGGTTGAACCCAATATAAGCAATAAATAACAAAACCTTTAGGCATACAGTTATTTGGAATACGTATATTGAACTCAACAAGGTGGTTTTGCTCTGGATATCAGTTTCAATCTCAGAGCATTATTAATTGTGCAGTAATTATTTAATGTTTGAGATCTTTTAGCTAAGTAGCTGTATTCAGACTCGTGACTTAAGAAAGGGGTTACATAAGAGTATTTTTCACTGACTTATAGGATACAACTTGATGAACAGGAAATAGCTTTTTTTAAAATCTCCAGGGAAGATTATCAATGTCCCCTCAAACCAGCATAATTTCTTATTTATTTGTCCCAGTTATTTGGCAGATATATCACTGTATAGTCTGTGATCATCACTAACATTTTATCCTCTTAATACATGAGTGAAGGAAAAGAAAATTGTTTGGTTGCCCAAAGCATTATCTGGCTTTTTGATAAGTTTTCTTTTGGGGAAGAATAAAAAGGTAAAGGTGTATCAAGTGTAATGGTGTATCAATTGAGGCAGTCAGAACACAAAGGGCGGACTTCCTGTCCCCACCTTTCTATCTATATTACCGGGTGAATTAATCTGGAGAAACAGCAAAAGGACTCAGGCCTGAAATAATGCCTAAAGTAATGATGCATAAACCCCACATTCCAGCTTGAAAAGTGGAATACAAGTTTTGTATAATTTGTATAATTCTTGTTCATATTTATCTGTGTTGAAATAGCTAGTTGTGAATGTCAAATTCCCATCAGAACAGAAAGAAATCAGCAACAATAAGTAAGCCCACTACCTGACAGATCATAGACCAATTGTTTTAAATAGTTTATACTAGGGCTAAAGAGGGGAATCACTGTTATTTCCATGTCTTTTGCCAACTCAATTTAATCTTTCTGGGACAAAAATTTCTAAATGTCATATAAAATCTTCTCTGCTCTACATTCAGTTATTGAGAAGAAACTACACATAAGAGACTACATCACACAGCAGCTGTGTCACACAGTAGCTTCCAGCTTTTCACAGCTGAATCAAAATATTACTTTCTTTAAAGAGACATTTAATTAAACAAATTAACCTCTGTGATGAGACTACCACACCTCTGGCCAAACTACTGGCTAATTACCTTGTTTGTAAAAACGCATGCACCTTATTTTCAATTTGTTGTTTCCTATCCACATACATTAGGTCTTAAAGCCCCATTAGATTAAAAAGACTCAAATCATGCATTTTCTTCATACATAGACATGTGGGAATCAAGTTCCATCTTGAAGTCCTTTAGAGTGATCCAGCTGGGTCCTTAATAGCACTTTTCTTTTCAGAAAAGAAGTCACACAGGGAGCTCATTTTTAACCAGGTATGCAGTCATCTCTACAGCCCTTTCAATAATACAGCTCCCCCATGTCCAATCTCTGTCCTTTTTGTCTTTTAACCCACATCTACAGTACATAAACCATAACATATTGAGTGTAATCAAAAAATGTGTGTTTTGCTGCATTTTTCAGATCTTTTCATCCTTGTCTTGATTATAAGCCAAAGCTCACCTAACTTCCCAAGGGTATATTTTATACCAGAACGTTGGTCAAAATATTTGCAAGAACCCACTAAAAATAACTACAGATGCTCCTAAGTGTATTGTGTCTGGACTTTACACATATAGAAGGTCTTGTACTAATATTACTGCAGGAAGGATTGTCGCTTTGAATGTACATGTAATGCAAAAAGGCAGTAAGGGGAATTACGCAGGGTCTCTCAGGAGATTAGCTGCCTTTATTCAGTAAATAAAGACGGGAGAAAATCATGTGACTTGCTAGCAAAGAAATGAATTTGCCTCAAGGTTGATTTAATTTGCACAATGAAATGATTTAAAAACCTAAGTAGATCGACAGACACACATACTTTTAAAATGAATAAACGAAGTATGCACATTTAAACCAAAACCTCTCTTTCCCCATTTTTGGCTGATTCCATCATTTAGTTTGGTTAGAATAATACTTTAACCTGCTTGTATTTAGTATGTGTAACAAAGGTCCCATATTGGATGTAGAGGAGAAAGGGCATATCACAATGTTTCACAGTAAACACATGTCCACCTCCATAAACTCTACAGAATTAAATGCAGAAATCACATGCACTAGTTTTATGAACTGCACTCTGTGTTTCTTTACAAGTAACAGGTGTGGCATTACTTTGCCAGTGCAGGGATATGACACATTGACTCTTTGTTCTCAGTTTGATTACATGAAAATGGCAACTCTTAATTATAAGACCTTTCAATTGCTAAACAAACACGTGCACAGAACACAAACAAGAAAGAAGTATGATGGAGATATCAAGTGTGATAAACTGGAAAGGCATCATAAGCTCCTTTTGTTTACTTCATGTTCTGTTCAGTGTGAGAATAATCCCAAAATGCCCAACAGCTGAGTTTATCCACCACTAATATATGACAGGCACTTCCAAATTTTTTTGAACAGAAGAGTTACTAAACAGCTTCCATCAGAAAGCAAACACTGCTCTAGAAAGATGGGGGATGTATTACTAGAGAGTATATAGTGAATCAGGATGCAAATGCACAACCACACTGTATCCAAATGCATGTAAAAACCTAAATAGTCTCATAAGCAGCATTTCACATTGTGGTTAAAAGAAAACAGGGAGTAAGCTCTCCAGCAGGATTCCTTTAGATCAGCTTACTCCATTCACCCTAGTTGGGCAGCTCTACTTTCTGCAAATCCCGTGGCCTTACTGGACCTTTTCTTCAAGGGTTGTATGTTGAGGCTTTAGTTCTTACAGAGCAAAAGAAATAAGTTCCATGAGATTAGCCACTGCAGTATTGAGAAGAATATATATAAAGTATTGAAACCAATAAACTGGTAAGATCTATACAACTACATATGTAAACCTGGAGTGTGTGGGAACAGACTCTGAAGTGTAAAGTTGGAAACGTAGCTGGCCACTTTGAGACTGTCCTGGTGATGTAAAAAAGGCTGCAAAATACATCTGGAGAATAGTCCAGACTGAAAATCTGCAAAATAGCTCCATGCTACCTCTTTTTTAGTGAAGGGGGTGTGTGCTAGGAAAGAGAGAACAAGGGAAGAGCTGAAATGCATTGCTTTGTGGTTTTTCTTCATGCCTGTTGGATGAACTACTGCTGTCTGGTACTCATAAAGTTGAAGAGCTACCCTAACTTGTCCTTCACACCTGAGATGTTCCTGGATGTGTCAGGAATAAAAAGTGCAAGATAAGAGTTGAAAAACATTGGGTTTTGTCTCTTTTTAGTAATCTGATTAAAATTAAACTACTTAAGTTTTTGCTGCATGGCTCCCTTCTATCAAATTCTAAAGCACTACAAACTTAAAAAAACTCAAAACACCACATCTCCTCGTGAATCCCTGAGCAGTTCTGCTTATAGTCTACCGCTGCTTTTCCAAACACATTTAATGAGTACCCCTTTTTAGTTTTCTGGAAACTTTGTTTCTCCTTTAGTGGTGCAATTAACATCACTTGGCTAAGAACCTTTCACCACTGTAAAGCTATTGTGCGAAGTGATCAGTGGTGATAAAATGAAATTGGAAATACACCTAATGCTGGTGTTTCCTTCCAGAGCTCCAGGGGGTGATAATCAAGATTTTCAAAAGGCTGTGCTAAAAGTTAACCAGATAATGACTATACAGATAACATTTAAATAACACTGGTCATATTGCAAATAGTTACCACAGACCAAAAGCTGTTTGGTGCTCAGGAATTTTGAAAATCATACATCATCTTGGTCTTCATTAGGGACTTATTAGCCTAATATTATGTAAAAACTTTTCAAAATTTTTTGCTTATGACTGTTGGTTTACTATCCTAAAAAAAACTAAAATCAGGTTATGCAGACAACTGAGTCAGGCAATAAGAGAAGATGGTTTAGTGGCAACACAGAAAAACCTTCCTAAAAAGTTGAGATTGGCTATCAGAACATGACAAGAGCTAAAGTAGAGTAGGAATAAAGAACTAAAATTCTCTCTCACTTTTAACACCAGCACTTGAGTGAGACTGATCTGTGTGCTAAGATTTTTTAGACAGAAAATCATCTATGTAGCATAAAATCTGCATTTCCATTTTGTCATAATTTTCAAATGAGTAAATTAATTTTTGTCCAAAGTAAAACATATAAAGTCAAATGAGTTTGGCCTATGTACTAACAAGAACAGGAAGGAGACTGGATAACTCTGTGATCATACATTAGAATTCCTCCTGCGCCCTGGTTTGCTCTAAGTTATGATGGAAATAGTCTCACTGAGTCTGTAAGCTGCAGGAGTGACTGGACACCCTGACCTCCTAGGAAGGCACATTTACCTTGAACAGGTGAACTACACAAAGGCTTCATTACAATCTGATTAATTTAACAAGCCAAATTTCAATCAAGAGGAGGACAAAGTACTCAATCCCTATATCTGGTGACAGAAACATTAATGGGCCTTTCTCAGCCAAAGTAGAATTGAAACAATATTCTTGTAGAATAGTCAACTACATGTACATGGCCTATCATGCTAGACCTTCTGATTTTAAACTCAAAGCCTTTAAGTACTTCAGTTCACATTTTAATCAACATTTCTTAATGTATGCTTTTTCATGTAGTAGAAACAACAGAAATACTTAACAATGCTCATTTGAATAATTTTAATGACTTCCAATAACCTACCAAGTTAAGAACAATCGTACTTTAATATCCTCTATTAATGAGTTCACAGAGATATATTTTTATACCTTCAAATACTTCAAGTTAACATTTACATCTTAGAATTCAGAATCTATTTTTAGGAAATCAGAAAACTTACTACTTTGTGAGTTTATTTAGCTGCCTCAGAAGGAATGTCTCCTTTATTTCACTGAATTATTGTTCTGGTTTCAGCTGGGATAGAGTTAATTTATTTCCTAGAAGTTGGTACAGTGCTGTGCTCTGGATTTAGAATGAGAATAGCACTGATAATGCACTGATGTTTTAGTTGTTGCTAACTAATGCTTACTTAAAGTCAAGGACTTTACAGTTTCCTATGATCTGCCAGCAACCAGATGCACAAGAAGCTGGGAGGAAGCATGGCCACAACAGATAAAAAAGAATAGCCAAAGGGATATTCCATAACATAGAATGTCATGTCTAGTATGTTAACTGGGGGTAGATAGCTGGGAGCTGATGATGGCAGTCAGAGTCTGGCATCTGTCAGCAGGTGGCAAACAACTGTATTATGCATCATGTGTTTTTCTTGTGTTTTATTACCTTCTCTCTTTTTTTATCTCCATTTTTATTACTATACTACTATTATTATATTATTATTATTATCATCACTGATTGTATTTTACTTTATTTCGATTATTAAACTGTTCTTATTTCAATCCATGGGTTTTACCTTCTTCTGCTTCTCCTCCCCATCCCACTGGAGGGGGGGGTGGTAAGCAAGCAGCTGCCTGGTACTTGTCAGCTGGGGTTAAACTACAACAATTATAAACTAAGTTTATTGGCAATATCATTGTAATCCTAAATATATCTCATAGCACAATTCTTACAATTAGTTTTTATTTATCAGGAAGCAGTAATCAACTAGATTTGCCACTTTCAATGTTATGACATTCTGACATGCCATCCAGTGTTACCTTAGACTTAGTGATAAATGATTTCCAATAAATCAGTAGTATTCATCTCTATAAACTGTTTTAATCTAGATTATTTGCTTAAATGACATTTCACCTTTGAATATTTTTATTAAAGGGTTTCCACTTTGATGTGGGATTCCAAAGGAGGGACTATATTCACTGTTCATACATAAAAAGTGGCATTTTTGCCTGTGTATAAGGTACCTATTTTAAAACAGTTTTTAAAGTTTGAATTTTCAGTAAATCCAAAAGTATATGCTTACCTCTCATAATTTCTTATACAGCAAACGTACTTACAAACAGTAAGCATGTACTCCCCTGAGCCTCTTTTAAAGCACTTTTCTCAGTCTTTGTATCTTTCAAAGAGCTGATACTGAAATATGTGAATGAAACTGAACCATGCAGTGGGAATTAAAAGAAGAAAAAATGCCTGCAGCCCCAAAAATTCTTCTAGGACCACATCCATGAATGGATAAATGCCAGGTCTGAGCACTCTATCCATACACACAGGAGCACCATGCAACTTACCAGTGGTAAGGCTGTGAATTTCTTTCTCTTGTAAAGTGAGATTTTTTAGTTATGTAAAAAAATTACAAATGCCACTTTTTCTTATGGGTAGGCTAATTAATATAAAGCAAAAAAAAAAGAACAAGAAAATAAATCCCTGGGCCCTATACAGTCCGTACAGGCCAAGTAAACACGGGCCCTATATCAGTCATGAAACTCACAGGCAAAACTCCTACAGCAGAGTAACTCTGGGCAGCTCTAACTCGTGTTGAAGATCTGTCTGATAAATCTATATTCAACATTCAAGAACACAAATGGAGACACCATAATTTCATTCAATTGTGGCACATGAGGTTTTGTGCAGTTTTGTATCTTTTTCCTTGAAAACTGTGACTAGTAAAGATTTGGCTTTCTTTAAAGTACTGACTCTTGGTAACCTGCCAGATGGCACAGGAATCTGCCTAGTATGACGTAGCTCTAAATGGCCAACATCTCTTTCTGTTCTTTGAGTCAACACATGCAATTGCAAGAAAGAGGGCATTTTACCCTCTATCCTCATGAAATTTTCCTGGAAGCCAGGAATAAGTTCAGAATAAAACTGAACCATGTGTCTTAAATGGCAAAGAACAGCGACATAAAAATGAATACTGCATTGATAACTGAAATTAAGAATAATGCTCTTACCAACTCTGCCTTCACAATAAAACTGATAAGATGTTTCAGCTGTAAATGAAAGGCGGAAAACAGCAAGCATTCTTCAGAATTCACAGAGCCCAAATAAAGGTTACAGTCATACCTGGAGTCTTGAAATTTCTCAGCTGAGATGGAGTGTCACAGATTTCCAAGATCCAGTCACCTGCTGCTTTTTCACTCCAGCAGTGAGTAGTCATAAACTCCCAGTTTTTGAATCCTTCCATGGAATGATCAAATAGCCTAAAACAAATCAAGACATTATTTCAAGGGAAACTTCTTTTCTGGGAAGCTATGCCTCCAAGGATGCATCACTTGAATAATATCCTAATCAGCCAGTTCATTCATCTGTGCCTTTACACTATTCATGATGGTTTTCTCACAGGTATTGCAAGTACATTCAAGAGTACAATGTAGAAAGAGTGGAAGAGAATCTTTACATGCCATCATTTTTTGTAATGTAAAAGAGAATTCATTGCAAAAAATCATAATTGCTAATACTAATTAATAAGATTCAAGGGTCTTGGGAAAACTGCATAAAATACAGAATTCCATTGTATTAACAGCATACTGTAAATACAAACAACTTGGAAATTGGAAAATTTCAGTAACATTTATTTTTGCCTTTAGATTGGAATACTAAAACCAATGAAAACTATTAAGTGACTGAGACAATAGCGATTCAATATATGCCACTTCTTGAGAGTAAATGAAATGTAACTGAGACACTGGCCTCAATCCTCAAATGACCAAGGTATCACCCTCTTCAAACACTTGACAGAACTGAGTGTGGGTAAAACTGAGAGACTAATGGCATCTGAAGTTTTCATCTAACAAAAAACAATACCATAATTTAATTATCTAAATCATGGGTGAAGAGGTTCGAACCCCCATACTAGAAATATCATAATCCAGGCCTAAGTTCTATTTCAGACTGCAATGTGATGCTGATCCCGTATGAGAAGGGAAATGAGGACCCTCCCTGGCCAGAGATTTGACACAAGAGATTTTGCACTTTTATTCAGTGTTCACAGTATGTCACTTGGTACCCCAAAACTATTGGAGAAGTGCACTCTAATCAAGACTGTTGCCTTCAGTAAAATCGCATGGCTCAGGTTTTAAAAATACATATGTATCTATACACACATATATGTATTTTTATGTATTTGTGTGTGTATATATATATACACAAAGATATTTATGTGTATCTATTTATACATGCATGTATATACATACATATGTATTATATTTATCACTATTTTAATGTGTGAAAATTCCTCCCTCCATTAGAGGACTGGGCAATCACCAAGATGTCTACAGTAGAAAATCCAATTGATTTAAAATGCTTTTCCAAAAAATAGAGAAAAATCTAGTATTAGACTAAATAATATTATGACATTTACACTTATGTGATTCTTCAGTGTTATTTTCTAAGCTAATTTCAAGCTTTATTCTCAAAAGGTAGCGAAGATCAACAAGCACTGGGAAAACAGGATGCTTTTGGAGGAACATCTGTAGCTTCTGGTGAAAACTGCCACACAGAACATGAATAAAATACCGTAGTTCTTGCTGGGAGTTTTGGTCAGTCAGAGGCATGGGTCAGGTACTGCATGTCCACACTTACTGCCAAAGAAACCATATGGACCTGCATGCCTGATGCACTTTGAAGGGCTCAGCCAAAAGTTGATTTTCATGCTCTCATTTCAAACACAGAAACATAGCACCATGGAGTTGGAAGGGATCTACAAGGATCATCAAAATTCAACTCCTGGCCCTACACAGGACAGCCGCAAAAATCACATAATGAGACTGAGAGCACTGTCCAAAAATTCTTGAACTCTGGCAGACTTAGTGCCATGACCACTTCCCTGGGGAGCCTGTTCCAGTACCCAACCACCCTCTGGATGAAGAACCTTTTCCTAATATGCAACCTAACTCCCCAGACACAACCACATGCTATTCCCTTGGGTCCTGTCCCCGGTCACAAGAGAGGAGATTGATGCCTGCCTCTCCTCTTTTCCTTGTAAGAAAGATGTAGGCTGCTATGGGTCTACCCTCATTCTCTTCTCCAGGATGAACAAGCCAAGTGATCTCAGCTGCTCCTCATATGGCCTTCCCTCTAGACTCTTCCCCATTTTTGTAGCCCTCCTTTGGACACTGTTCTATAGCTCTGTACCTTTCTTATATCGGGGTGGGAACATACCAGTGCAGTGTTGAGTGGGGTAATCACCTCCCTTGACTGACCTGATGCACCTCAGGACATGGCTGGCCCTCCTGGTTGCCAGGGCACACTGGTTACTCACATTCAACTCACCATTTGTGCTTTTTCCATTTTAAATGAATGCTTATAATAGTAGTCTAATCTATTGGAAAATTAAATTAAAATATATATTTAGAATTAGTCTTAATTTTCACTGATAATTGTGTGAGAATTTATTCTGATACAGTTCTGTGCCTCTGTATGTGCACCTATGTGTGTATATGTAGATATATTCTGGCAGCAGAATGGGCCTGTTTCATGTCACTGTTACATCAGTTCTATGAATACAGGAAAATCTCACAAACACATGGCACTTATTGTTTACTGAAAAGGTACAAATTATTACACAGTAGAAATTATTACCCAGAATTTGCATGTGAGTATGTTCATTTGATGTCATTATAGAGATTATTTCCAACTGTTAGTCAAATTGTCACACTGTTGTCATATTGTTGTTGTCTGATAACCAACGTATTACTTTCTAAGCACACTGTCAATGCAACAAGGCAGTAATACTTCTCTTTGCCACTGAGGTAATTAGATTACCCAATTCACTATTCCCTCTTGGCTCACAGGTCGAGCACAGAGTGTAATAATGAATGGGGTAACATCAGACTGGTGACCTGTCACTAGTGGGGTTCTGCAGGGCTCCATCTTAGGCCCTGTGCTCTTCAACATCTTCGTAAATTACTTGGACGCAGGACTGGAAGGGATGCTAAGTAAGTTTGCAGACGATACAAATCTTGGACAAGCTGTTGACTCCCTTTAAGGCAGGGAGGCCCTGCAAATTAGATGACTGGGCAATCATCAACTGTATGAAGTTCCACATGGGGAAGCGGAAGATTCTGCACCTGGGGTGGGATAACCTCAGATGTACACACAGGCTGCAGAATGAGATCACCAGCCACTCACGGGAGGTGACTGTCCTGCTCTATTCTGCACTGGTGAGGCCTCACATGGTGTGACTCTTGGGGATGGTCCTGTGCAGGGACAGGAGTGGGACTCGATGATCGTTGTGAGTCCCTTCCAACTCAGCATATTCTGTGATTCTGTGGTTCTGTAAATTATATAGTATTATACAACTACTGTGCAGTTCACTGTAAATTTTGTATCCTCTGGGCTTCTTATTTACATACACTGAAATGCTAGTTGCTGTTTATTTTTACTCTAATTAGCCTAATATTTTCCATAATAGTTTTTGTTGCAGTATGTTTATCTTGTTTTGAAATTTTAAATTTTTGTCAGATTTCCATTTTAATAATGCATCATTCTTCTAAGTAATTTTGGGAGGAAGAGACAAAAATCCACTATCTTGTGTTTATAAAAACATCTTTACCTAAAATTTGCTATGACTGGAACTGTAAGCTTCCATCCATGGAAATGGTGCAAATCTGGTAATATTATTTCAGAGAAAACTGACTAGCTTTTTAAAAGAATAATGCTTTGGGAAAGATTTAAATTTTATAAGGTAAAGTCTAAATCTGAATATTTGAATATATGAACTGTGTTTCTGCAAATGAGTCAAAAAGCTACAGACAGATCAAAAGAACAATCAAAACCAAAGTAGAAATATACTGACTCTGAGGCTGTCTGTATGTGCATGTTGGACACACGAAACGGTCCAAGTATTTTTGAGTTGCTTTGCTTATGCACTGAACTCTCCAATCAAAGAACCTCTGAGGCAATACAAGGATTGCATTTTGAGTGGTGTTAAATGAATTAATTAAATGATCAGATGTTTGGGTGCACTCTCCTTATCCATAAAGAAATACATATGGAGTAGGATCTTTTAAGAAGCGTGGAACCGGTCCAGATGTTAATTTTGTTATTTGTATGGTTGATGCTGTAAGGTAAACATATGCAGGTATTCTTCCCAAGAATGCCAAGGCAGTGGAAGGATTGAAAAGAAGGTTCATTTCAGATGCAACCACTTTTTCACAATGAGGAGCATCAGGCCTTCAGGGGCAAAAGGTGAGTTCCTGCCCCCTCAGGCCCCTTTTATCTTCTGTTTCTCCCCTGCCTTCCCGAAACCTCTGTGCATGTCTGTTAGGGTTATGTCTCTCCTCTCACATTTCAGAGAGAGAGGCTGACAGCTTCTCTTGCTATGTGAGGGGAGAAAGCACTGAAAATGCCTTTGAGAAAGAGTTACCATTTAGGTAGAAAGCCTTCCCAGCAAAAACTGAATTCCTAACTTTCCGTTACAAACTCTTCCGAAATTGTACCAGTCCCTGCAGATGCCAAGTCAAAATTCATATCAAGGACATACTTATCACACAGATTATCATGGATTAGCAAATTATTAGTATGTAGTCTGATGAACTGTTGACTGTTACAGATTATTATAGATTAACTAGTTAAATAATATTATTAGAATAATCTGATGGTTTTTATGACCATGATTATCCGCAAAACCTATAATCATGCACAAACCATGCTTTTAAAGACCAAAGTGATTAACATCATTTGAATTTTAAAAACTTACTTGTTAACACAACCACAACAAAATGCCAGTTCTGTTATTCAGTTACTTAAGGGATCTTTCTCAGTAACAGAACACTCAAGTGAGGGTGGATGTGACTGCATGATTGACTATATTCAGAGAAACTAATTATAGGCTGCTGGTTACAATGAATAGCACTACATTTTTTAAAAAATCTTGTCTCACAGCTCAAACTGAATTAACAAAGGCTTCAGACAGACCCTACTGCCCACCTGCACTGAAGTATTTGGAAAAAAAAAAATAAAATCAGAGAACGCACTAGGCATTCCAGAAACTTTCTCACCTACATATGACAAATCACTTAAACTTCCAGATGTGGATCTAAAGAAGATGTATTTAAATATATGCATACACACCTTTTTCTCTTTTTTTTTTTAATGTCCATTTTACATCTGGCTATGACAGTTAATTTTATGAGGCAATGGAGATCTCTAAACTATCATGATAAAGTGGTTTGGAGAATAGTAATGTGAACACTATGCTACAATGCCTGCCAGCCTGAAGTATTGGGTAGTACAGCAACCACCATCTTTAAATGTTTCCCCAGAGACTGCACATATCCGCATTAAATGATCCATCATTATATTCCGATATGTCAGGATGAGGAGCTCCACACACCCCACTGGTCAGCCAGCTCCTTGGTACTGGGATATCTGTTCATCAACACCACTCACACACCAAAAAGAAAGAAAAACGAAAAAGAAAAAAAAAAATAGTCAATGTGAATGAAATAAAACATAGCAAGTATGAGTTGGGAGAAATAGTTTTTCAAGAACTGATTCATCCTGTAGATACAGCAGAAGTATAGAATTATTGTTTGGTCATTGTGGACTTAATAATACCACCTCAGAGATCTTTTCAGTTACTGTATAACAGGGACACTCAGCATGAAGGTTGGACCTATACTTTTCATCAGATTTGGATACACAAAATATAATGTTTTTGTTTAATATTAGGGCATTGCAATAAAGATGTGCACCTATAAAGAAAGGTTTTTTCTAATTCTGATTGCTAAGACTTTTTTACGAAGCAACCTAGTGAGTAAGATTAGATAAGAATACCTTGTTTTTGGCCTAAGAGTAGGGTATTATTAAAATTTACTGATTGTCTAAGGTTTCATGATAGGAAAAAGATAGTCATGAAAATACTTCCCTTTTTTACTGAACAGAAGTATTATTAATGTCAGGGCCATATAAGCATAGGAAGCTAGTGGCCTGGAAAGCTGCCACCACGTGGCTGAGATATTTCAGTTATGCAGTTCAAGTGGCAACAGCTGCTTTGAATTTAAAGGGCAAGAATCAAGTAAGCCATGACCTCAGTGGGAGACAAACGAACCCTAAGTTTGCTTCTGCTATCCCCTTTGTGTTTAGCCTCCCCTCCATAGCCTCCCTGTACTGAATGTTTGTTAGAACTGACCTTGGTATGTCTCGAAAAACACTCAGAAACCCACGCTGCCAAATCCCAAGGCCAATTGTTTTCAAAAAGGGGATACTGTTCCCCATTGGTCTTAACTGTAGCCTCATCCTCACACCAGCCAGCACTTTCCTAGCCTTTATTTTCCTCTGCTGCAGCACATCCAATGTAATCATGTTTAGTACTTTCGAAACAACAAAGCAGATGTTCCTTGTAATGTAGTTTTTGAAGAATGCACATAAAGCTCAAGCCAGTGACAATGTAATCCACCAAATGACTGCAAAGGAATCCATATTGACTCTGACTAACAAGTTTTCTTACTGATGTCATTTTAGGGGATGCCAACATTAGAGAGAAAATATGCAGAAAAAAGGCCAGATATTGCCTTGAGGGACCTACTTGTCAATGCACCAGAATCTACACACAATGACCTTTCATCCAGAACTGGGGGAGAAGAAGTGCACATGTAAAATATACCTTTTGCACTTAAAAGACATTTTACCAGCAAACTGTTTCAAATTAAACCCAGATGATTAATGGTAAAGCAATGAGGTTTTCTCTGGGTTCAGTAAAAACAGCTGGTATTGCTGCTATTAATCATGTACGTGTGCATTAAAAAGTCTCGTGTGTCTGAGAAAAGCATCTAAGTCAGGTAGCAGCAATGCACAAGGGCCTCTGGGACCTCTGCCTATGGAAAAAAAACCAGACTGCTTGCTGCCAATGTCTCTCTCCATGCATACTTATACCAGAATATATGTACCATATATACCATACTTATATCAATATACCATACTTATACCGGAATTATATCAGAATGCATTTATTCTGATTTTTAATACTTTAAGAATCAAGCACCTCATAACTAATTTTTCATATTAGTGAACAATAACATTCCTACTTCAAGTTTTATTCTATAAAATGATGCTAAAACATACACTCAACAACATTCAGCATACTACTAATTTTGAGACCTTTAAGCCACATGACTTCTCACAGCCACACCAAATAAAATAAGCCTTGAAATACCATTTTGGAAAGTACTGTATTCATATCCATCCCTTTACGCTAAGAAAGGGAAGGCCCTAGGTATTTCAGACCTAGAATTTGCAATATACATTTATCCCTAATATTAGTAGCCCAGAGTTGTTTGTTTCAGCAAAATGTGATGACTAGTCAGTATACCTCTGAAGTTCCCATGGGAAGGGAATTTCTGCTGTAACCCTACAAGCTCTGTCATGAATAATTTTGTTTTTGGGAAGGGGCAAAACATTTTTTTTTACATTCTTTATTTTCTGGTTAATCTTGTGATACTATAGTATAAAAAACCAGCTGAACTTCCCCTTATTTAATACGTACATTTTTTTATGACAGGTATGAAAAGTAATTACTTTCTATGGTGCAGGGGTTACAGAGAGACTGACTGAATCAAATTTTGTACCTATTCCACATAACAGTCACCACCAGAGGTGAACTGTGAATACTGGAATGTTTATCCCGCTTGCTGTGGGTGAGCTGCAGCACATGAAAGTCTAGAGCCAAAAGTTAGCTGTGTTAAGACCACTGGGTTTACACAGGATTGTTTTGTTTGGATACCTAGTTGGAGGACTTTTGATTTTTTTTCACTTTGGACCAAGGAAGGACTGCTGTATGAAAATCGAAAAGAAAACTTAAAAAAGAATTTCTTCACACAGAAAAACAAAAGCCTGTTTCATAACTAACAAAAGAAGCTTGCTGCTGCACTGGTTAGCAGAGGACAAATTCTTTCTTCAGTGCAGCAGTGTAGCAGGGAGATACCCAGATGTGTGTGCCTATGTGCTTTTATCAGCAAGGCTCTGACAGCACAGGAGATATTCTAGAGGACCCCAAAATTCCAGGACAACTTTCTGTCCATTTGATGAATTAATGTCTACAGCTTAAAGACTATTTTCAATACACCTTTTCTTTTAAAATAACATAATCTCTAATGAAAATGGACATTCACACTTCAATCAGAACCAAGTCCATTTGACTGTCTCCAAAACCAGTCCTTTTTTTTCAAGAGGGAAGATAAGTCCTTCTACCACTGAGGTACGGGAGTACACACAAGTGTCCAGAGCTAGACAGTCTGCATTTCTAGCTAGGGAAACGTCGATGAAAAGCAGTCTTGAAAGAAGGCCATTCGCAGTTCATTAAAAGTCCTAGAGAGTACGACTAGGGATATAAACTTTTGGGAAGATTTAAGCATGATGGCAGAGAGTTCTCACAACACAGGTCTGATATATGGGAGCTTTTGCAGTTCCTGAGACATATAACATCAGGTAACATCAACTTTTATATGGGAGCCAAGCTTTGTGTCTTACAGAATGGAAGTCACCTAAATCTGCTACCCGCTAAGGAAAAAAAGATTCCCTATCATACTATGGTGTCATTGGGAAGAATATTTCTAGCTACATGGAGAAGTAAAGAAGCATTTCTTAGTGCAAATTTAACTTATTTGCACATTTGGAAACTGGGTAAAGTTTGAGAAGGTTTCTGATGTGTCTTAATGCCTTAACTATATCTGGTAGGAGGTGGTGGTGTTGATCATGGATTTAGTGAGATTTACCTGGCAAAGTCTGTCAGTGTTTTCTTCCAAGAAAATGTCAGTGTTGTCCTATTACAAGCTTTTCATGGGTTGAGTATATTTACTTTGAAAAAAAGGATACAGAAATTGGTAACACCAGGAACTTAAAGAAAACAGCAGTAAAGAAGCACTATTCCGATTTTTATTACTAGCAAGGAAATAGAAAGGAGAAAAATGAAAAATAAGTGGCTATAGTATATAGAAACACTTGCATTCAGCTTCCTTGTGAACACTGAGCCTGTTTTCTTCACATTTCCCACTATCTAACAACTTGTGAACCACACAAGACTATCAAAATTGACTAATCTTTATTTTGGAGATTATGTCCTTCAACAGTTTTACAGACTAGTCTTCCAAAGAGATCATAATTTTTGAGTTCATTTGTACATCACTCTGCCCATCTCTCTCAGAAAAAATAATGAGCCTATGTCTGCCAGCAACCCTGGCAGAATAGACTTGTCTATTCTCTGCTGACATGGACATCTCAATGCAGGCTCTGCAAGCTGTCTGTACTGTGAAGCTGTGTTGTCATACTATACCTGTTGGCCAAGAGCTGTGACCTAGTTCCAGATGGAGAGGTTAGGTAAATTGCTAAGTCTCCACGCCGAGGGTGAGTAATAGTGATGCGCACAACCACATGCTCCAAGTAGATCACATGGTGGTTGGGATTATCTGAACAGCCAGTGGCTTTGTAAATGGAACGGACAATGCTGTCAGGTCGTATTGTTCTGTAAGAGAAACACAGCAAAAAAATCAGCATTTGTTACTTTTTGCGTAAAATAGACAACCGTATCTTTTTTGTTTGGTAGTGAATGACAGTGTGAGACAACTGAGAAGTCAGTAGCCTATAACCATTAGTTTTAACATGTAGTTCCTAGCTAAAAATATCATCACAGGGTAATTATTTTGCTGCAGCTAATGGTCTGTATTTCTGTTAAGCATGCACATAAGGTAAAATAGGAATAAGCCCTTGGGACAGAGCATTTTTGTGGATTAGTGGCCAGCTGAGAATTGCTAGGATTGTTATGGGATCACAGCTGGTTGCTAAACCCCAGGAAATGCCTGGCATAGTTACAGTCCTTGCTTACGTAACAGCAAGTATTACATATTAACTGTACTGAATGGCATGTGGTTTAAATTGGCATGGCATCCTTGAAGACTATACCAGTTACGGATCAAACCTGTCAAATACAATTATCAAACAATAATCTTAATGCTTTGAAGGTGTGCCTTATGACTGATGCTGTCTCTATATCCATACAGTGCACAAAGAGAATTTTGCTCTTAAGCCTGGTTCTATAGACACCCTATCCTAGCAAGTGAAAAACAGCTTAGTCTCTGAGCTAGAGACTCTCCTAAGACTATTTGAGAGAGTATGCAAGGCGTATTTGCTTGTTAGGTCCTGGACCAGTAAGTCTGTACTTTTCTTAAAGAGTGACTGAAGTGCACTCAACCAAACACTGTTCTTTGGTGCATCATCTTTATCAAAATTTATCGTTATCCAGTCTGGCCTGTTTTACACCTTCTAGGTGTTCTTTAAACTGGGGCCTTTTCCTAAGCACTACAGGGAACAATGTTTACAGGCAAATGACCTGACATCTGTGAATGTGACAGAGATTCCCAGTATAGCTTTCAAAAGGCAAGGGAGGGGTAAATTATACCCAAATTCTTTCCATAAATTTATGCCAGCAAGAGTTTTGGTAGCGGGTATTACTTGATTTGCCGATCTGTGTTCTCCACACACACATGCTGTGGAGGGACCGTTGTCCACTTTTCTGCTTCTACTACCATTGCTTCAGCATCCATCAGTCCAAATCCATAGAGGTGGCTCACTGCAAGGTACAGAAAGAATGGCTGCATTTATAACATAAAACTTTGGTTTGCATCCTAGACTAATTCCAGAGAGTCACATCCTAACAGGAGCTGCTTCTTTTCTACTTCTTCCTTGCTTTCTCTCAAAGCTCAAAAATCCCACTGCCAGAAATGTTAAAGACTATATCTAATTTATTCACTAAATCTGTTCACTGCTTTCTTACAGAAATGGCATGAAGAACTACCTACATTGCTACCTACCATGGTAGGAGCTACCTACCACGAGAACTGCAGAATGCCAGAGGATAAAACTGCCTCTGACTACCCTTTGTCCATGTGCCTTCACTTCACTGTCTTACATGAGATAATATTACAGGTGTAAATAACCAGAGGAAGGTTATTTCTGTTACTCCAGTACCAAACACATGCATGTATATGTATTGAAGGTAACTGAGACAATAAATTTAAGATGGATCAGACTGTCTTTTGTAACTGTGGTATTCTCTTAACTTCCCTGAGTGTAAGCAGCATGTAGATGCTCTCCTGTTCCTGTATGCAATATGGTTGCTACTGACCAAACAACCAAGTAGATCCAACATTTCCCTAAAGCTGTGCATGACGAGGGTGAAAAGCACTTATTGAATCAGCTATGTGGTTTTGGTTGCTATTGCAATCAAAAGAGAACCTTGCAAATGGATTTTGATGAATTAGAAGAGCTGCTAGACATGTTGTTTTATTATGTCAAGTTGGGGCTCCTGATACAAGTTCTGACAGCGTGAGAGAAAAAAGCTACCACAGGGAGGAGATTAGATTGCATATATCAATACATGAGTTTTGCTTGCTACCAGGACAGTGCTACCAGGAAACTCTCAGAAAAAAGTAAGTGCTATTTTAATCAGCAATGCAACAAAGCATGATGTAAGTCATCCTAACTCTGCACTTTGCAGAGGGTTTGTGATAGCAACCTCTATTGCCAAACTAGAATTCAAAGGACTCTTATCGAAAAAAATCCCCAACCTTATCAAATAAATACAGAGCATAAAGATAATCAACGTTTAAGGATCTTATCTTTCAAACATGGCAGTATCTAATACTGTCTGAAACTATCAGCTGAAAAGGGTTCTTCAGTGAAAAATACTGCAAGGTGTAATGATTGTGTAATGAACTAGTTTTCTTCCCATCTCCTTTCCCCTGAGCCCCAAACTGAACTGCACATAGGATGAAAATGTTCCTTAGGAGACAACTACACCACTTCTGCCAAATGAGGCAGGCATCCTGTGCAGAAATGAAACACAACTAAAACACATGAAGGTAATTAAATTTAGCTCTCCTTCAGCCTTCTGAATTCTCTCCTATGTATTTCAAAAACAAATGGACAGGGGAAGAGATGTCCGATTTTTCCATGTGGGTAGAGGCAGCCAGAAAGAGGGCAAGGAAAGCTCAGATGAAGAAACTTTTTGTACTGTGAAGAAGATTCCTGTGATGGAAATCTCCTTAGTCTTGGATGCCATCTTGCAAAAACTGCATCTGATGATGAGCACATATTTATCTGTGCAGACATTTGCCTGTTCGTATACTAAATTTTAATTAGTAATCATCCTGTCGTCTCTGAAAATCAGTGGGAGGAACAAACCTTAACTCGCATAGTCTGTAACTGTACACAGTTACTCTGTGTAGTGCATTCAAACAGTGAGGATTAAATTTTCACCAGTGGAGAATTTTTTTCAGTTAACTCACAGAAAATGTATTTTTAATTCCTGACAATTAGCAACTTACATTGACTTAGCACTCAGGATGTCCAGTTATAATATATGTGGGCTCAACCTCAATACTGAACTCACGGAAGAACTAAGATTCTCCTCAACTCACCTTCTCTTACTCAGAAATAAGGGCAGAAGAGCACCTAACTTCGCCACCACCAAGCAGTAAACTTTTTGATGGAAAATTAAGGGACTTTTAAACTACTCATCCTAGATTTTTTTTGCCCTAATATACACAGTAAAAATGCAAATAAAATCTAAAGAGTGAAGTTTCTATCTTTCCTGCCCTAAAAATTAGTTGGGAGATAGAATTTAGGAGAAGTTTTCATCCAAGAGTGAAAATTCCCAGTCAAGGTTGTGTGGTTGTGTTAATTGTCCACGATTCAAAGCTTAAACTCTTTTGCATGAGAGCAGAGGAGGGCGTGAAAAGTTCTGCACCTGTTGGCTCCTTTTCTTTTTGCAGCTGAAACAGAAGTACATTTTTTCCCTGAAAGGCCTTCACATTGAAATAAAAACTTCCTGACAGTCAGGGATGTGGACACCTGACATCGGGCTGTCTGCAACATTTGCACTTCAACTTCCTTGATACAGTGGGTTGGTTAGCAAGTGACTGTACCAGTAGAGGCCCGTAATTTTCAAAGACTAAGTAACAGCAATTCAGGAAAGAATCACAGAGCTAAACAAAGTAGATGTGTTTTACAGAAGAAAGCAGATTTTGTTCTCTACTGCCTTCAAATTGCGCCCTTTCATTTGCATACATGCTAGTATTGATGTGCCAAGGTGTATCTCCCCAAGGTTAAAAATTACCTGAATGGTCCACACTGGGCCATAAATGTCTTCTGGGAAACACCAGGAACTCTCACTGATTTGTTTGCAAATGGTGCTGAGTTGACTTCTGCTAACCCAGATATAAAAGCAGTATCTGAAAGGTACTGATGATGGCAGAGTGAGATAAGTTAACTAACTGCAAGTGCAAAATGCCTGCAGATCTTGCACCAATCCACTAATGTTAGACTACATTATCACTGCTGTGAATTCCTACCGGGGTCAGCTGATGCTAGGAATCATTAGGTATGTCAGACGGGATATTGCGTTGTTTTGTAAGACATTTGGCTTTCAGAGAAAAAAACACAAATGTGAGGTTTGTGCAATGTAAGCTGGTGACTAAGAAGCAGTGCAAGAGTCTGCTAAGGAGGGTTGCTCTTGTTCATCTGAGGCACTGAAAAATGTGATCATCTTATGATCAAGCTCTCCGTTGGTAGAACTGTCTTGAATTCTCTCTCTACTCATGCAGCAATGTGACTCATCATTTATATTTCTGTAAAATAACAGGCATACATGGAGCTTTACAGAGGCAGGGCATGTTTTAGAGAAAAACTTGCCTCCCACAACACAATGTAAATACTGAGTTTTAACTAATCTCTTTAATCTTATCACTAAAGAAAATAACATTTCTCAGGACTTCATTTATTAACCTGTGGAGTAATTCCTCCACTAGTGCACCACGAAATCAAGGCCTTCTCAGCTGCTGGAGAGACTTCCCTAGTTTTTTCATAATCTCTGTTTTTGTCTGAAACTGCTATTGAAAATTCATTAACTTTCTCATTTATATACAAAGAGTATGCAAAGCTACCCCCGAATCTATAGGCAGAATGTATACCCCACTTGAGTAAGAGAAATATGAATGGCTGGTCTTGATATATCATAACACAGAATCAGGCAGACTTCAGACATTGAAAACACAACGCTTCCAGTGCAGCTAAACTTGATTTGTTAGGCTGCAGTTTTATTGCCTGTCATCAAGATGTCTCATCAGTTACTTAGATGCTAAGCCTCCCTTGCTGTTTTACTCATCTGACAAAAGCACTGCAGAATATTTTCTTCCTGGTATATTTTTGGCCTTTCCTATATAGTATTTTATATACTGTGAAAGCAGCATTTGAAATATAAACATTTTGTATGCACATATCAAATACTAAATCAGAAAGAGAGAAATGGTAATATTTTCAGATTGTCAAATGAGGAATATGCAACTTCCTTAACTAGATTAATCTGTTTGACTGTAAACTATTAAGATGTTTTTATTATGCTACTATAGGATCTTGATGACTGACAGAATAGGAATCTAAAATGCCCCTTATACTGTGATTTTCTTAAATATTTAATTCTCTACTGCTTTAATAATTCCATATTGCTTCTCTGTCAGTTGCTTAGTACATAGAAATGTTTCAACTAGGAAAAACAATTGTCTAATTAAAATTAAGGGACAAAAAAGGAGAAATGTTATGATGACATGGCTTACACTGTTTTGTCACGTCCTATCTAAGAGAACAATGATCTTGAATGAGAATTCATTTTCTTTCAGCCGTATTGCTACTTCATGTCGACATATGGCAAGTAACCTGTGATAACTGTGAGTGATTTCTGAAACACGTAACTGTTTTACAAGCCAGTAACAGAGTTATGCAAGAATATGCTTTTTCATTTTTGTTTTTAAAACCAATTTTCTCAAGCTTTTAAAGTTAAGCGTATTTTTTTGTATTTTACACGGAACCGATCCCTCAATTTTTCTACTTAAAGCAAAGGGCAAACTAAGTCCTTCTTTCCCACAGAATTCCCTGAAATCCTTGATTTTTTAAAGATTCATCAGGGATGCTGGAAGATTGAGTTCTTACACTTACCACCATGTTGGAGAGGGTTGTGAAGAACAGAAAGTTGCCCAGTAGATTTGTCTTAAAAGTGGCAGCTACAAAGATGCACAGTGAGAATCTGAAGAGCCTCTACAGAAGCATAGAGTGGTTCAGGTTAGAGGGGACCTTCAAAGCTCAGCTACTCTGACCTCCCTGCTGCAGACAAGGTCACCTTCCACTAGACCAGGCTGCTGAAAGCCCTGTGCAAGCTGGTCTTGAGCACTTCCAAGGATGGTGCATCCAACAGCCTCTCTGGGCAACCTGTTCCAGCGCCTCACATCCTCATCACAGAATCATACTATCATGGAATGTTAAGGGGTTGGAATGGACCTCAAAGATCACCTAGTCCCAACCCACTTCCATAGGCAGGAACACCTCCCACTAGACCAGATTGGACAAGGCCTTATTCAACCAGGCCTTTAACGCTGTCAGAGCTGTGCCACCCACAACCTCCCAGGACAATTTGTTGCAGAGTATAACCACTGTCATAGTAAAAAATTTCTTCTTAATATCTAACCTAAATTTCCTCTCTTTCAATTTGCACCCACTGCTCCTTCTCCTATCACTACA